TTTCTGGCGGTTTGAAACCGCCACAAAATGCATTTTGGTTTGACTTGTTTGAAATTTTCTGGCGGTCCGAAACCGCCACAAAATTGCAGTTCTGTTTGACTTGTTCATCATTTTCTGGCGGTTTTAAACCGCCACAATATTCATTTTAATTCTACCACTTCAACATTTCTGACATTTTTAAACCTCCACAAAATTATTATTATTTTTAGTTGTTTACATTTTCCGGTTGTTTTAGATTGCCATTTCTCACATTTTAACAATTTTAAACCGTCAAAAATACACTTTATTTTACGGTAATTTTTAAAAAAAATATATTTAGAATTATTTTAAAAGCGCATTTTTATTATAAATTGACAAATAATATTCTGTATATTTTAGACATTTATCAAATTATTATTTAAAATTATCACTAACCATATTAATCATTAAAAATTAATAATGACTATATTATATTGTTATTTAATTCAAGTAACTTATAAATAAAAATTTTACTTGTCAAATTCTAGGATCACTTATTTTAATAAATTATACCTATAATTATAATAATATTTATGTGTTTTGTATGTTTCTTGTTCAAATATAATTACTTAAAGATACATTAAATTAACAACTTTTAACATTATTATAAAAAAAAATAATAATATTTATGTGTTTTGTATGTTTCTTGTTCAAATATAATTACTTAAAGATATATTAAATTAACAACTTTTAATATTATTATTAAAAAAAAATCAAGACAACATCTAGTCATAATTACATTTATTGATTTTATTTTTTAATTCATTAAAATATATTATTATAATTGATTATAATAATTAAAATGATTATAACAACAATATATTCCAAGTAAATCAATTTATTAAATCATTAGAGAATATTTAGAAATTACGATAATAAATTTAGGCTAAATTATATTTTTTATCCTTTATCTTGTTTTTAAGATTTGTTTTAATTTTTTATCTTTTAAAATAAAATATTCATTTTAGTCCTTTATCTTATAAATTTAGGTCAATTTAGTTCCTTTAATTTTTTTTAATTGATTCAGTACTTGAAATTTCTCTCATAAGATTCAGTTATATGAAAATTATTGAATGTAATTGAAGTTTAAACCAAATGTGATTATAAATATGCCGAAAATAAAAATTTCCAAAAAAAATAGAATTTCATATTATTTTGTAATTATTCACGAGATATATTTTTTATACGATTTTCATTGTATTTATAGTCCTTTTTGATTAAGATATTAATTACATTTCATAGTTTTCATATAGGTTAATGACATAAATTTTATCATTAAATTAGTTAAAAATTGATTCAAAATCATGTCATAAAATTGAAAATGATCATTATATTAAAAGGACCAAATTGATTCAAATATAAAAAGATAAAGAATTAAAATAAATATTTTAATAGATAAAGAATAAAAATGAATCTAAAAAGTAAAATAAATGATCAAATATATAATTTAACTATTAATTAAATTAATTTTTAATAAATATTTGTATGATTATGACAAATTTAATATTTACTACTTATTTTAAAATTTGGTTTTGAGATAAAAATCCTTTTGACAATTTCCTTTTAACTGCTAACAAATGCATCTTCCAATCA